GCCTCCCAGGCGCTGATACGGAGCAGAGGCCTCATCCTGCAAGGCCCTGAGTGTTCCGGGTGCGTCCTGCGCTTCCTCAGTGCCTGTTACAAGTAACATTCAAAATGCATGTGGCATTTTCAAGTCTGATTTTACTCCTGTGAAACCAGCCTGCCTTTGGCAAGGAGCAGATCAGGCCTTTACAGGGTAAGGCTCCAGCTCTGTTAACATTGTGTGAGTATCTTAGTTTAATATCTAGTAGAGTCTCCTTGCGTAATCACAGCAGTAGAGTCAAAAGTCTGAGTGATTTTATACCATAGAAGTGGGTCGAGAACACGTGACAAAGGTTGAAGCAAACTCATATAAAGTGAGATGGGAAAAAAGCAAAGGAGAGAGTGTGGAAGAATGAAATCAGAAGGTAAAGACAGCCAATGGAAGAAAGCCAGAAACGAGAAAAAAATGAGTGAATTTAACATTACCAATAAAATGCATGTGAACAAATGCTTTTTCTGGTCTCAGTTTGGGGAGTTTTTTATAGAAGGGAAGAGAAATCTTCCTGGGAACTTTCCCTTAATCATTACCATGCTGCAGAAAGTCTGTTCTGGGCAAAGTCTCTGAAGAATTGGACAATTCCTTATAGAAAGTGAAACTGTACAGAAAGCCTTTGTTGGAAGAGGGGAAGGAAAGAATGAACAGGCAGGGAGAAAAACATCAGTATGACTCCATCCTAGAAGAGCATGTTCAGTGACATGCACAAATGTTCCCACCTTGACCCCAATTGTTAGCGTTTCACTCAACCGTTTGCCTTTAAGGCCATCAGTGAGTGTGCATTAGTGAGAACAGAAGCACTGGAGGGAAAATGCAAACTCCTGCCTTTGGAGCTTGCAGTAAAAAGCAAGTACGACACCCTGAGCGAGGACAAAGCATTTGCCCAAGACATTCCCATGATCTGGGAACAGAAAACAGGAAAAAAAAGAAAAGAGAAAGAAGCAGCCAGCCCAGCACCAGCAAGCCTTCCTAAGCTGTGCTTCCTTGGGCAGAAAACCCCAACGGCAACATCCTTTCCGTGCTCACATATCCTCAATAAGTGAGTCTGCTCTCGAGTAACACGCAGCAGTTTTTCCTATCAGCAGCTCACGGTGAACCCAGCGAACCCTTCGGTCCCAGCGAAGGCCAACTTTCTCTGCAAGGTTAGCTCGTGCAAGGAATGTGCACGAGGGGCAAAACCTGAAATTCAAGCTGGGCTTTTTCTGCTTCATACAACAGGAAAATGCTTCGGCGGTGACAGAACGCAGTTGGTAAATTCTGCTGATGAATTCTGTGAGGAATACAGTTATTTTCCTAACCTAAGTGCTCAGTAAGGATTGAGCCCCCTGGAAAAAAAACATCAACTTGGTCAAATGTTCTTAAGATAACAAAATAAGCATAATCAATGTCGAGTGTTTTCCTTGTTTATACTTTGTTTTATGATCCATTAAGCTACTCGCCAGTCCCCTATTCCAACTATGACAGCTAGAAAAATAGAAATGAAAACTGAGATTGTGACACGCACTTTGGGTTCCAATAGGTGGGGCTTTGAGGCAGACTGCCCCCCACAAGTCACGTTGGCCTGTGTGGGGTTCAGGAGCCCACCCAGGCAGGGAAGCTTGCAAGACCTAAGACTACAATATATTCTTCAGTTACAGAACAATGCTGACAACAGCTTTTCATCAGTAAAGTAGGAAGAAATAGTTCTGAAGATACATCGGGGATATGTATGGTGAGGCTAAGAAAATAAAGGCAGCGAGTTTGTTCCCCAGTCTTTTGAGCAGGACAGCGGGCTAGTGTATGGGTTATGGGCTGGTGCGATATCTCCCTCGTGGGTGCCACTGGGAGACTAGTGCACATGATTTTAGGTGAATCTCTTGAATAAGAGTAGAGTAATGAGCAAAACACGCTGGCAGAGGCTCTGTCCCCGGGGCTGCAGTTCCCAGGTAGGAGGCTCGTCTCGCGCTGCTGCGGGAGCTCTCTCAGCAGAATGCACAGAGGTCGGGGTATAACTTGCCCTCAGTTCACAATTTTCCATTTCAGACTCGCTGTCTCTGTCTTGGTTTCGGTCTATTTACTCGGAGCCATTTCTTAACAATGTCTAATTTCCTCAAGGAATCCCTCTGAGTCCCTCTCTTAGAAGCACTGCCATATCTTTTTTTTTAATCACTGAAAGGCACAAATATCCTTCCTGAGCTCTTTTGCCATCCAGCCTGATTATATACCTAGATTGGAGTTTCCATACATTTTCTGCACAGTAGGAGTTCCCCAAACGCAGCCTCTGGGGATATAAAGTGTGGCCCCAACTGCAACTCACCAGGATGAAAACAAAGCTGACCAGGTACTGCTTTTATTGTTAATGAGCCTAACCAGCAGGCAATTATTACTTAGTCTGGAAGACATAAGCTGTTGGAATTATCAGGCATTCACTTTTTATTTACGGCAATGCACAATCAAACCAGAAGTAGCCCTCCGGCGCCTGGCATTTTGCCATTGCCTGACCATCAGTGTCCCCAGATGTGAACATCTTGAACATAGAGAATGCCTTTTTAGCACTTTTTTTTTTTTTTTTTTTCACATTATTCCCTTATTCTCCTCCTACCCACTCCCTGGATTATCGAAAAGGGACCGCCAGCCTTAAATAACTTCAACCTGAAGCCATTTGCTGCAAATGAAAGAAACCAGTTCTGTTTCTTTCTCAGCTGATGTGCAAGTCAGACATGCCCTGGTCTCCTGGCGTAGAAAAAAAAGCTCAACCCTTCGCGCAGCTAAAAGCGCAGACACGAGCCCTGGAGCAGGAGCCACAGAGGGAGGAGTCCCTGGAGAGCCCGCACGTCACCAGGCTGTTGGTCTCCTGGGGGCGCTGGCAAAGGGCGCGTGGGGAATCACGGTGACTCTGCAGCCCCTAAGCGGGCAGGCTTGGGCAAAGCGCGGCCAGCCGACGCTGGGCTGCGCGGATCCACCGCCGTGCCCTCACCTGCCCAGTGATCGGCTTGCAATCTAACCCCTCCCCGCGTCTCACTTAGAAACTTTGGTATCTGCGTGGCAGACTTGACAGCAATTAACATTACTCAGCTGCCGGCTGGGTTTTACAGCTCTCTTGTTACGCAGGTTTTAAAAACAACGCGAGCCACGGAGCGCGGCTCTGCGCCCGGGCGCCCGCTCCCGTGCCGCCCCCGTCGGAGCTTTGCCACTGATTTTAGGGGAAGCGCTCTGCAACCGAGAAATAAAAACAGCAGCAGAGTAACGTGAAACAATAGCGGGCTGCTGTTGGGAGCCGGAGCCCTGGTTTTGTTTCCCTTTTTGATCTTCCCACCGTGCGGGCTTCATAGAAGGCGCTAGTGGGAGCCTGTCCTTGTTTACTCGCGTAGCTGCGCGCACGGCTCACACGCCGGCACGCGCACGAGGCGCTGCCTCACCCTAGGACAGCAATATTTGGCTCTTAAAAACCAAGGGAGCCTCTTGAGTCATTTAAGGCTGGCAAATACGAGGGTTTGGGGGAAAATTACGAGCGGTTGCTGGCAGTTTTAAACCAGCCTGCCTGTGCTGTTGGTCAGGGGTACTACAGGGTAAGCAGGGACCGGCCCAGAGTGGCATCGTGGGGCCTGAAAGCAGCCGCTGCTGGCACCACTGCCCTTGCTGGCTGCTAACGCAGGAAAATTGTTCTATTTTCTTTCTGCTCCTCGCTCCCACCTGAAGCGGGACCTTGTCAGCAGCCCCCTTGGCCACAGAGATGCGTGGCGGGGAAGCGCCAGCGCGCGTTGCGTTTCTCCGGGCCCCCCTCAGCGGGGCTCGCTCTCCCCCGCGGCCCCTGCGGCCGCGCTCCCACGCGGGGCTCCGCTCGGGTCACTCGCGTGTCCCCGCGATGCGCGGAGGGCGCACCGGGCGCCCAGACTCCCGCCGCGCGGCACCTTTTCCACCGGCCCCGTCACCAA